ATGGAATTTACTGGAAAGATACTTGGGTACCTTTTGGAATTTTTTTTTTTTTTTTGAGTTGGAGTCTCACTCTGTCTCCCAGACTGGAGTGCACTGGCCGCTCCTGGCTACTGCAGCCTCAACCTGCTGGGCTCCGGTGATCCTTCCACCTCAGCCTTCCAAGTAGCTAGTCTTTTGGAATTTAATGAAGAGCTGGACAACTGGACCTCAGGGCAGGTAGGAGGAAGGAAGGTGGTTTGAGAAATCACTTGAGCAGGAAGTTGTGGCCCTCCAGGATGCTGTCATCAGCCACCAACAACTCCCAGGCCTTTAAGAGTCTTGAGTTCCAAAGCTAGTCCTGAGAAAGAAAATCTTAATTATCTATTAATTCAAAACAACTCACCCCAAACTTAGACATCTTAAAATAACTTGTCTTTCACAGATCTATGGTTTGACTGGACTCAGCTGGGCAATTGTCACTCAGGGTCTTCTGTGGCTGCACACATATGGTGATTGGGGATGGAGTCATTTGAGGACTCAACTAGGATGGATATCCAAGATGGCTTCCTCACTCTCATATACGACATTTCTGCTGGGAGAGCTCAAACAGTCAGAGGCTGTTTCCTCTCTAAATATATAGCTTCTCCATGTCATTAACTTGAACTTCATTACAGAATGGTGGTCTTGGGGTAGTAAGGCTTGGTGGGGCACAGTGGCTCAAGCCCGTAATCCCAGCACTTTGGGAGGCTGAGGTGAGGGGATTGCCTAAGTCCACGGGTTCGAGAACAGCCTGGGCAACTTGGTGAGACCTCATCTCTACAATAAATAAATTAGCTGGGTGTGGTAGCACGCCTATAGTTCTGGCTACTTGGAAGGCAGAGTCAGAAGGATTGCCTGAGCTCAGCAGGTTGACACTGGGGTGGCCGTGAACTTGCCACTGCACTCCAGCCTGGGCAAAGGAGTGAGACTTCAACTCAAATTAAAAAAAAAAGACTTCTTAAATGGTAGCTGGCTTCCACAAAAGTGAGAATTCCAAAAGGCACAGGTGGAAGCTTCAAGGCATATAATAGCCTAGGCTTGGGTGTCACTTCTGCCCTAATTCTCTATTGGTCAAAAATGAATCAGGGGTAGCCCTGATTCAAGGGAAGAAAACTACATTAGGAATTGAATACTGTTCATTGAGGGTTATGTTGGAGACTAGCTACCACAGAATTTGATGGTTCCATAGGTTACTTATATTCCTATGAGGGGCAAATCCAGATTTTACATGGATTTAAACACATACAAGTTAGACAGCTTTCTTGAAGAATGAAAAGGATCCATTCAGTGAGGGGCCCTGAAGGTTAAGCTTCATCAGATTCATAGTTAATATACTCCTGACCCCCTGCAGTCCAATCAGCTATGTTATGGCAGCATACATCACTTTGGGGAGTCCACCTACTCTTGTGTACCAGGAAAATAAGGAATTATTGTGAGCTCTTCCCACTCAACAGAAGTGTCCTGTTCAATATAATCTGACCATTTGAATGACTAGCGTCAGGTCTCCTGACCTCCAAGCAGTGATTTTTTTGAATATGCCATATTCTACGGTATTTCAAATTTTTAACTTTTTCTTACAAACTCTCCCACACACTAGAAGAAATATATGTATACATATCTTCCACACAAAGACACAAAGAAGACATATATATCTTCTTCCAATTTTTATCTATATTTTTTCTGTCTTTTTTGAGTTGGGAGTCTCACTCTCACCAGGCTAGAGTGCAGTGGCATAATCATGACTCACCACAGCCTCGACCTCCTGGGCTCAGGAGATTCTTTCACTTCAGCCTCCTGAATAGCTGGCATGTACCACCACTGCAGGTGCGTACCACCACGCATGGCTAATTTATTGATTTTTTTGTAGAGATGAGATCTCGCTATGTTCCTTGGGCTGGTCTCGAACTCCTGAGCGCAAGCAATTCTTTTGATTGGGCCTCCCCAAGTGTGGGAATTACAGGAGTGAATCACCATGCCCAGTGCTTTAACACACTATCTGCCCTACATCTTTTTCTTCTGGCTGCTCCTTAAACGTTGATGTCTTTCAAGGTTCTTTTTCTCACTCTATAGCATCTTCAGATAGCCTCTACCTGCATATGACTTCATTCACCACCATGATCAGATGATTCCTAGTTCTCTGTCTGTAAGTCCAAGCCGCTATAGTTGCAAAGTGTATCAGACACTTCCGTTTGGATGTCCCACTAGAATGTCAAGATCTGTGTGGCCAAACTTCATTTATCCTGGACTCCTTATTATGATCAGAGACAACATTCAGTCATTTTCAAAAACATTTATTGAGCATTGACTATGTGCCAGGCACTGGGAATACAGTAGTAAAAACACAGATAAGATACCTGTGCTCCAAACAGATATTTAATACGTAAACAAAATAATTAGATTGTGATAAATACTATGACAAAAACAGACTGATGAGATAGAGAGTGACTGGAATGGTCCCTTGCAGGAGGGAGATCAGAGAAGGGCTTTCTGCAAAAGTAACATTTGATCTTTGATGTGAAGGAGGAAGAGAAAACAACCATGCAAAGTGTGGAAAGGGCACTGTAGGTAAAACAGTAAATACAAAGCCCCCAAATAGGAAAAAGCTTAGTAGCCATACAGGGCCAGTAGCAATTAAGTTAATGAGAGAGAGAATGGCTGAGGGGGGTCAGTGAAAGGTAGGAGTCAGTCTATGCAAGGCCTTGCAAGTTATGGTAAGGAGTCCAACTTTATTCTAAAAGTAAGAAGCCATTGAATGGATTTGAACTGGAGGGAAGCAGTGTCACAATCTGATATACACATTTAAAGAAGCAAACTACCTGTGTGTAGTAAATGGACTGTATACAAGAAAGAGTAGAAGAAGGAACACCAACTGGGAGATATTATAATAGAACAGTCTAGAGACAGCCTGGATTAAGGAGGTAGAAAGAAATATGAGGTAATTAAATGGCTTCAAGATTAATATGGACGGCAGAACCACTGAACTTGGTGATGGAATGAATTTATGGGTGAGAGAGGGGAAGAAATCAAGGATAGCGCTCAGGTTTTTTACTTGAGCAACTAGGTAGGTGTCATTTAATCTCCAAAGGCATTATCATCTACTCCCTTTCCCTCCTCCTTCATATTTATATTTAGCCAGTCAGTACATTAATCAGGGTTCTCTAGAGAAACAGAATTAATAGGATATGTATATACAGAAAGAGATTTATTTGAAGGCATTGGCTCACATGCTTCAGGGAACCAGTAAATTCCATATCTGCAGGATAGGTAAGCAGGCCGGGGACCCAATAAAGTTTTGACATTGCATTCTAGACACAGAATTGCTTCTTCTTTAGGGTCTTGTCTTAATTTGGACTGACTGGATGAGGTCCACCCTCATTATGGAGGCTGAGTCAAAGTCTACTGATGAAAATGTTAACCACATCTAACAAATACATTCATAGCAGCCCGGCACGGTGGCTCAGCCTGTAATACCAGCATTTTGGGAGGCCGAGGCTAGTGGATTGCCTGAGCCCACAGGTTTGAGACCAGCTTAGGCAACTTGGCAAGACCTCGTCTCTACAATAAAAAAAATAAAAATTAACTGGGCGTAGTAGCACGTACCTATAGTTCTGGCTACTTGGAAGGCTGAGGCTAACTGCTGGGATGGCCGTGAGCATGCCACTGCACTGCAGCCTGGGCAATGGAATGAGACACCAACTCAGGAAAAAAAAAAAAAAACATTCATAGCAACAACTTGACTGGTGTTTGACCAAAAACTGAGTAACAGGTATCATGGCCTAGCCAAGTTATTATGTAAAAGTAACCATTACAGACACAAAGTTCTATTGACTCCCACTTTTAAATATTTCTCAAATTGGTTCTTTCCTCTCCATTGCCATTGCTTTAATTTAGGCTTGTGTTATTCTCATTTAATTAGTTGATAAAATACTTACGAATTAGGCACTATGCCAAATGTTGAAGATATAATTGTGAATAAGATAGACTGTACTCTTAGGGACTTACATTCCGGTCTTTCTCTGCCTTCTGAGTTTTCCCTCTTTCCAATCCACCTATATAAACAGATGCCTGTAGATCACTGCCTCACACTTTAACTGGGCTGTAGAATATCTCTGGAATGATCATCTTTATAAACTGCTTATTTGCAGACTCTGAAAAGATACCAAAAAAAAAAAAAACAAAAAACCTGAGGCACCACGGTTGCTACCAGAACAGAGCAGCTGATCATCGTATCTATACTTTTATCACATGAATGTTGTTACCAAGTACGTGATTTACAAACTCGAAAATAAACGAAAACAACAGAAACAAAATCCCTCAGAACCTTTCAGGGGAGCCCAGTGGCCCATGGGGGGCAGAGAGTTTCTCCCATTTTCGCCCTTTAAGACCAGTTTACCTGTTCAGTTTATCTCCGACTGCACCACTCAGTCAGGTGAGGGACCACGCGAGTTCTTTCTACCGGAAATGGTCTTGAGCAAATTTCACCTGGTCTCTCAAAATCCAGTTTCGTCAGCGCCCACCTCAGGAAGCCGTCCCTGCATCCTGTGGTCCCTCGCTGCCATTAATGTTACTTTACATTTAACCTCATAATGCTTTTTGTTGCAGTCATCACATTGTGTCTAAATTTGTTTACATGTCTGTCTTTGCTACTTGATTGAGGACAAGGATACAGCTTAGCACAGACCGAGGAATTCCGAAATTGTTCTGTGAAAGAAAAAACTATATAGATATAGATATAGATATGCTGGCCTCACAGAAAGGAAAAAGCCTCGAGGACTGGGGCTCTCTTCCATCCCTCCGTGACTGAATGGAGGCAAACGTGCCGGGAGCTGGCTGGAAGGCTGCCAGGGACCCGCGCGGCCCTCTCCTCTCTTTCCTTCCTTGGCGCCCGGCGCACGCGGCTTCCAGAGGTTCCGTCACACCCCGGCGCGCGCCGGCACCCTCGCGGGGTCCGGGAGGCCCTTCTGCCGCTCCCACAGGCGGGCATGGCGTTCAGCCCTCTTCCGAGCGCGGTATGGGGGAGGGAGGGGGTCCTCTGGGTGTCCGCTGGCGGCCACGGACAGTGAGCACAGTGACCAGAGGGAGGGCGCACCCTCGGGTCGGAGCTGGGATGGGGTTGGCAGGGGAAAGGTGGCGAGGACTGGCGAGGGGATCGTCCTCCTAACTTCCCGGCACTTACGTTTCCTCTCCGGGCCCAGGCTGGGGTGGCCGCCTCCCCGCCCCACTAGCTCCAGGAGTGTCCGGCGTCGTAGGGAACCGGCCGCCGGGCACGCCCCTTCACTCTGCCGCCGCCCGGCCCC